CCACACACATGCACACATCCACACACATGCACACATCCACACATATGGACACATATACACATGCACACATCCACACACATGCACACATCCACACATATGCACACATCCACACACACACTCCCTTTATATTGAAATGTAGATTCCGTGTATAAGAGAAAATACAGCATTGTCTTTTTGAGTCTGGCTTAGTCACTGAAGGAAAGTTGTAATGACTGGAGGTAAGCTGGGTACCTAGCCCAGTGGGCCTTTAATGAATGAGGATTCTATCTTAACAGTGAGAATTCATTTCTCTCCTTTCCTGCCTCCCTTCCTCCCTTCCTTCCTTCCTTCTTTCCTTCCTCCTTTTTAATAAACACAAAGTCATTTTTTTATGATTTCCATACATGTACATTACTGTATTTTATTAATAGTCTCTCTCTATCACTGTGGTTTTCTTCCCAACAGAGGCTTTCATGTATGAATGTATATTTGCATATGATGATGGCCAAGTGGTACTCATTCTTTTCCTCTCATTTCTCTGTCTTTTAGACTAATTTCTGCTTCTGCATAGTCCATTTCCACTTTCATTTCTCTCCATCTCTCTGTCTCTCTCTCTTTCTGCCTCTCTCTCTCTCTCTCTCTCTCTCTCTCTCTCTCTCTCTCACACACACACACACACACACACACACACACACGAAGATACTCCGTCTATTGAAATGTAGCTTCCATGTATGAATGAGATATTAGCCTTTGTGAGTCTGGCTTATTTCACTTAACACACTCTCTTCAGTTGTATCCATTTTCCTACAAATAGTGTAAATGACAGAACTTCATTTTTTTTACTTATTAACTTTACATCCCGCTTACTGCCCCCCTTCCCATCACCACCTCCCACAGTCCTCCTCTGAGAGGCTCCACCCAGCAGCTGACTCAGAGCTTCATTCTTTATTGAGCAGATATACCACACTTTATTTATCCATTTCTCTGTTGGTGGCCATTTTAGGCTGGCTCTGCAACTTGGTTATTGTGACCAATATTCAGTAAATATTGACGTACAAGTATGTTGACCTAGGTTCTTTCAAGTGTATGTTGAGTGTCAGAGTCAGATCTTGTGGCAATCCTAGCTTAGTTTCTTGAGGCCCCTGTATTTTGATTTTCATAGGTGTGCACTACTTTGTATTTTAGTGGGGATTTCTTTAAGCCACTCGTGTAGATTTGTTGGCATACATACTGTATGACCTCTGTAGAGGGAACTATGGTGTCAGGAACTAAAAAGCAGATCAGAACCAGCATGGCCTCAGGAGAAGTAACGGGAAAGGAAGAAATGTTGATTTGTTTTCTTTAATGATAGAAATATGTCATTTCCCAAAAACTCTGTAGTGTTATTTCCTCACTGCCATGACAGCATACCTTTCAGAAGTATCTTAAGGAAGGGTTGGTTTTGGCTTGTGGATTGAGGGTGCAGTCTACCATGAAAGGTATGGTGGCGGAGAGAGCAGCTGTGGCTGTGGTGGCAGGGGCGTGAGGCACCTGAGCGTGAGGAGCATTGCCACATGATCTGACTCTGACACTCAGCATACATTTGAAAGAACCCAAGTCAACATACTTGTATATCTGTGTTCAGGAAGCAGAGGGAGATGCACTCTGCCTGGCTTCTCTTCTCCTTTCCCTTTTGTTTAGTCTGGGCTGCTAGCCACCTTTTAAGGGGAACCTTCCCTCTTAGTTAAACCTCACTGGAAGCACCTTCACTGATCCACCCAGGGTTATGTCTCTCTAAATTCTAATCCAGGTGACAATGGGTTTAACCATTACACCATCTTAGTGTCATATATTGGGGGAAAGTTCTAGATGTGTCTGGGGGTTTGGGGGGGGGTCTGGCCATACCGCCAGACATCATTTCTAAAGCATACAATTGCCCTTGGGCGCCTTCCACAGCTGACACACATGGTTTGGTTTCTGTTGTAGGATCCGAGGTCTAATGTGATCCAACAGTGGTTTTCTGAGGAAGGCGATCTTGGAGTCGTTTCCAAAACTTTTCAACTGTCCTCTCATCCAATACTTGGTGACTGGTCCATTCAGGTTCAAGTGAATGTGAGTATAAATATATCTTTGGGGAGAATGTAAAAGTGGTTTAAGTTGTTCATATGGTAAAATTTTTCCTAAGTCATTCATTCTATGGACAGAAATAAATTACTGTGAGTATCTAGACAATTTAGTGACTTATTGTTAATTTGCTATATTTTCCAGTAGTGTAGCTTTCATTACAGTCATTATCTTTTTCTACCATAGAGTGTTTGGAGGTTTAAACATTTTGGCATTTTGTTCTAAAGCTGATTAAATATTTATTTATTAATTGCATGCATTGCTGCTTTATTCGTTTGGCACATTTGATGTTTCAGAATAATGATTAAAATGTGATTGGACAAACCTACTTTGTTCTTGTTATAAGAAACAGTGGCTTTAAAGAGTCACATTGCCCCTTGGTCTCCAGATCTTTTCCCTCAGAGTTCCTCTTGTATTTGCTTCCCTCACACACAGGTCTGTGACTGACATGGTAGGAGCACTGCAGTGCTGTTGCCCTCTGACTCAGCTTCCATGGGTGCACTACTTTATTTATTTATTTATTTATTTATTTATTTATTTATTTATTTTTAGTTAGTTTTTCTATTGCTGTGATAAAACAACATGATCATAAATACTTTGCAGAGGAAATGGTTTACGTCACTTCCACATCATAGTCTGTCTTTGAAAGAAGTCAGGACAGGAACTCAAACAGGGCAGGAACCTGGAGGCAGGGACTGATGCAGAGGCCGTGGAGGAATGGCTTGCTCTCTCTCTAGCTTGCCCAGCCTGCTTTCTTACAGCACCTAGGACTACAAATTGCCAACCCTAGGCGGCATCGATTGCTAACAGTTCCCTTGCTAGAGGTAGGACTTTATGAGCTCTTTGCTCATCCACGATGGGATTTTGGTTGGCTTGAGCTTGCACAGGCATTCCTCATGCATTTACATCCACTGAGTTCATGTGTGCAGTGACCCTGTCATGGCCCTTACCTCTGGCTCTTTTTACTCTCTCTTCCATGATGACACTTGAGCCTTGAAGGTGAGAGGGTGTGATATAGATGCTCTGTTTGAAGCGAGTCACTTCATCATCTTTTTATATCTGCATGTCGACAAACCGTGGGCTTCTGTGTTGGTATCTACTACAAGAAGAAGTTTCACTGACAAGGGTTGTGAGATGCATTAATCTATGGTTTAAAGATAAAAACTTAGTAGACAATTTAATTCTATGTATATTTAGTGAAAAAATAGTATAGGTTCTCCTCTAGTGCCTGTGACCTAGCCAGCCATGGACTTCTGGCCTGATTAACAGTACTTGGCCTGACTTCTGTCTTGTGGAGTGGGCCTTAAATTCAAGCAGAAAGTGGTTGGTTGATCAAATAGCACTTGTTCAACTATTGCCCAAGTGGACATGCCTTGCCAGGCACTTTGCTATTGTAGACACAGGTTCACAACTGAGCAAGACTTGATTATTTTCCTCTCCTAGTAGTATATATAGAACCTTCCAGATAGCGGGTAGGGGCTAATTTTCTAGATTGGTACCAGTTTGATTCCTCCATGTCCTATAGTTCAGATATGCAATACCTTCTGTGATAAGATCATGCCATCAAGTTCTGGAGCATAACCAGGAACAAGTGCAATAGTCTGGAACATTTGGGGGAGCTATGGGATCCCACAGAACAACTTGAAAAGAATCCCATACCTGTCACTGGGTTTTTTATTTTCTACCTTTTGAAGCCTGGGAGAGGCATTTCCCCCCCACCCCCCCACCCTCCCCATTATAGGGTAACTCGATTTTAACTTACTTTATATGATTATGTGTATAGATTTTAGGAAACTTTTAAAATAGTAGTTTTCTATTTGTAGTAGGTTTCTACATGGCCTTAAAAAAGTCTTTAGTGTTAGTTTTCTCCTCTCTCCATGGATCAACACTCCCTACTCTACAGCACAGATATTCTTGACTCAAACATGACTTATGATAAGAAGATCTTTGCAATGTGGTTTTTATGACAGCTTAGAATTATATAGTTCCATTACTAAGACATTCACAAGGAAGCAACCCAGAGGAATAATTTCATTCAGTCTTTGAGTTATTTAAGATATTTAATTTCTTTGATCTTTCTGGTTGGTACTTTTGTTGGCTATTTTTTTTTTTCAAGGCAGGGTTTCTTTATGTAGCCCTGGCTGTCCTGGAATTCCCTCTGTAGACCAGGCTGGCCTTGAACTCACAGATATTTGCCTGCCTCTGCCTTCCAAGTGCTGGGATTATAGGCATGCGCCACCACTGCCTGGCTTATTTTTTTATTTTTATGATAGGCTCTCAATTTGTCTGCCTCTGTCTCTACAATGCTGGGATCACAGGCTTGTGCCACAACACATGGCTTGCTCTATTTGAAAGCAGCATGACCAGGTGATGGGTCAGTGTGCCTGCCACATCTCAATCTTGGGGTGCTTCTCAACAGGCTCAAAAGAAGGGGTCATACCTGGTGTAATGGATTGTAATGACCCGTCCTGTCCCACGTTTGGGGGCCATTATGTCCAGGCCCATTTGGGTCAGTCAACAGGGTCTAGCAAGAGAGAGAGTGAGGATGGAAGGGCAAGAGACTTGAAGAATGGAGACAAGACAGAGAGTCTGTTTAAGTCCCTCTTTTAGTGAAAGGAAATCCTGGGTATTTATACTATTTTCCACGTGCCTTGCCCTCGAGGACAAGCAGGGGAACATCGCTGAAGGCACTATGTCACATGCCTTGCAGCATGGAGACCACGTGCGCCTTGCATCTGGGGGCACTAAACAGCAAAACAAGATATGTGAGAAAAACAAGATGTTTATCAGAGTGTGCTCAGCTGTTGTGGGCTGTTGTAAAACAAGTCTCTTGTCAGGGTATACGGCTCGAGATGGCTGCAAAGATGATAGCTGCTTTCTGCTAGGAGTCGGCTCCCAACAATGGATAAGCTCATATGTCAGGTCTTTATGAGTTAAAATATTCACAGACGTGATTCATTACTGGCAAACATTATTTATCAATTTGTACTTCAAAAAGGTGAAGGGGTCCTTACCTTACAGAAGAAGGTTATTCATCTAAATGCTGTGACTCAAATGAACTTGAGATTGCTCTGAATGAAATCAGCCTCAAAAGGACAGCTACTGTGTGGTCTCGCGTAAACGCAATATTTAGGATATAGAAAATTAGTGAAATACCGAGTGGAATGGGAGAGGCCGGGGGTGGAGCGAGTGACAAGGAGGTGGAGTGGTTTTGATGGTGTAGTTTCTGTCCTGCAAGATGAAGATCCAGGGATTTGTTGCCACTGTAGATGCACTTAACACAACTGACCAGTGTTCAGAGATGGCTAGATGGCAAATTTGTGTCACTGTAATTAAAACGAGTTAAAAATCAATGTCACCTATTTATGAGGTATGTTGGTCATTGAGTGTGTAATATTTATATTACTTTATATCTTATGATACACAGATGAGTATTGATTTTTATGTAAATACCAGAAGATGTTCGATCAGTGGTATCTTTGCAGATGTTTATATACCTACCATCTTTAGCCTTGATAATTGAGCCGATCTTACTGAATGTGTAACATGGTTTTAAAGAATGTTGGAGGCAGTGTTGCAAAAGAGGTTCATACATGCAGTGAGTAATTCATGAGTATTAAAACTAATGTCTGTAAGATTTATAGCTGAGGTATTTGCTTATTTTCTGGATTTATAGCTTAGTGTGGTAATATCCAAACAAAAAATCTAAACCTTAGAAAAATATTAATTTGAAGAAGATACAGGATACCATGAGAAATGTTGGTCTTCAAGTGTCTCTAAGTATGATCTCTCAGTGTTATGGCTGATCACTATGATAAAACAAACACATTTATATTCTATAATAAGTAGGTAATGTAGTAAATTTTAAGAAAGTTGGTATAATACTCCTGGGAAAGCACAGGTGCAGTATTTATATAGGTTCTCGTTTGTTCTTCATAAGTAATTTTGTGATATGGGTACAACTATGCCCATTTTCCAGTAGGAAGACCACAGCTTAGCAAATTAGCTTCTTAGGTATACTTCTGTAGGAAAGGAGAGCTTTTGTGACCTCCTTTTGACTGTTAGTTCAGTTCAGAACCAATGGCAGCTTTCTAGTTCTATATTTCTTTAAGACTACGGCCATCCACACTAGCGAAGACCAGCAATGATAATCTACAAATATATAATGAATGTGTACTCCAGCCCCGGGAGCTGACAACAGTGCTTGCATGTGAGTTAAGAGTTATTAGATGTATTAATCTAAATCCAGCTTCCTCCTGTAACATTTTAGAAGATATCATTATCCTTCTGATAAAGACAAACACAGAGTGCTTGTTGTTCGTGAAATGTCAGTATGAGGCATACAACTAAGAAAGGAAAACAAAACAAAGCAACAACAACAAAAAACAAAACCAAAACAACCGCCACCAAAAACCAAAGCAGACCGTCTTTAACAAAATTGATGGCCACCAGATGTCAGTATAATCAAAGACATGTTTGCGTGGTGAGCTGGGGCCTCACTTCTGGTTTTATCTTTGCTTGACTCCTGCTTTGCATTGAGGAGCTTTAACTTTTATTACCTACTTTTGTTTTAGCAGTGACTCATGACTATGGATGGGATAGACTCATTATTTGAATGCTCCACCATCATATACTAGGTTTTTGTTTTGTTTTGGGTTTGTTTGTTTGTTTGAGTCAGTAACTATTCCCTGGGGAAAATTATTTTCAGGAGAGAAATTTAAAAAATCATTCTATTTGTAGAAAAAAAACCCTACAGAATGATCTCAGCACCACAGTGGGAAGATGGTGCATTAGAACTGGGAACTTTATCAGGGGTCTGAGGTGTAGTGACTGTAGATAACCAGGAAGAGGCATCCTTAGTCACACATTCCCCCTAGGTCAGGAAAGGGATACTTTAGTGAAACACGCTGTGGGCTCCTTGGCATTTATCTGATTCTTACACGTTCATTTATAGCAGTGGCTCTCAACCTGTGGGTCAAAATCCCTTG